ATAAAAAATATTGGCTGGTTCTTCCACTGGATCCTATATTAAATTCAAAAATAGCAATCTTTTAAAACCTAATATTCTGATAAATCATTATTATAATATGTAACAAATTATTCAAATGTAGACTTTTTCAATAGTCAAAAGTATTAATTAAACAAATATTTATTTAGCGCTTGTTCTGTGCCAGGAAATAGGCTATACGAAGAGAATATGACAAAAAAAATTAATCCTGGCCTTTAAAACTTGATGCAGCCAATTTATAATGTGGTATAAACTATTAGACAACAAAAGAGAAAGAGAAATGATATGTGGATAATTTCTTTGGTAAGATAAACTATAAAATATAGTATAAAACAGTTATCCATATTTAATCCTGGGCTGCATAATAATTTTCTAGTTTTGGAGAGTCATTTTTGGAGCACTGGATTTTTCAAGTAATCTATCTCCTGGGAGTCTTGTATTTCAGCAACAAGATCAGGAGGAGTGAATGGTATGTTTGATTTACACAGGCCCAGATGTCTTCCTTGACAGTGTCTTTCTTCACTCTTTATACCAAATGGATTTATTCTCCCTGACTGCTGTGAAAAAGAGGGAGACTATTCCCTTATTCTAGTAGGCTGTCATAGGCTGCAATCCCAGATCAACTCAAGAGTGTTGCTTAGAAACTGAGCGATCTCATCTTCCAGTCTTAGGACCAGTATAAGATGGGTGGAGGAGATAGAACAACTTAATTTCCTTAACACTGAGTTCATTTGCCGATTGATTAATGGTTACAGGAAACTATGTCAAGGAGTAAAATGACTATATTTTCTCAAACACAGATAGTTTGATTTACATGAGTTATACACAACATCAGCCCTCTCCAATCTTGGTTCTTTGATTGGCTGTACTTGTATTTTTACTTCCTACATCTGTTTGTTCTCCTTGTTACTCCTGAAGAATCCCTTAGTGCCTTCTTTTTTTATGCCCGAATTTGACTTTTTAAATCTACTTTAAATTATCATGCCAATAATAAAGACAGTATTTTGATATCCCAGGCCACCTTAGATTTATGGGCATGCCTCCCTGATGGTAATTCTAAGTTGGTTTTATCTAAATATTAGTAAACCACAGGGTGCTACTGCATTGAATATTACGCAAAATATCAGATGCTTATTTTCCATTATATTGTATAGAAAGCTGTTGGTTTAAAACTGACATGTGTGTTTTTCCACTGTCCTTGTAGTTTTCGTTTGATTTTTGGTATAAATCTGTTCTTATATGTTTAGAATGAATTTCACACATATTATTTTTCTCCTTCACATTCTATACATCAGACCGTGATTTTTAAATTGGACACTTTGAAAACAAAGTACACAATTTGAAAAAAAGCAAAAAGACTATGAATAAACAATATGTAATATCCAAGTTTATTAAGCTATTAATAGGCATGATTGCTTATTTTCAGCTGAGGATAGATGGGAACTTCGAAGAACCAAGTGTGAAAATTTGATGACAAGGATGTCTGTGGAAGAGCTACGTAGATGAACCCCCGTAAATATGGAGATAGCATGAAACTGTTTGGGATCATGTGAATGTCACCAGTCATATAAGGCCTTACTAGTCCTGGCATTCTGTGTAGAGACATGCTAAATATCCATCACTTTCAGACTTTCAAAGACTCCCTCCATCTAGTTCCTATTTAATTGTTTCTAATATGATTTATTATTTTATTTTGTGTAAACCGAAATATGGAACATATACATTCACATTGAACATATACATAACTGAACATATACACACATATTTAGTTGAACACATATACAAAAAGTGTATTAAAAGTAGGTGTATAAACCAATGGATTTTTCACGATATGACAGGTATGCTGACTCCTAATGCAATAGATTGGTTTTACCTGTGTTTGACATGCATGTAAATATAATCATTCAATATATATTTCTTTGTATCTGGTTTCTCTAACTTTACATTGTGTTATAAGATTCATTCATGTTTGCTTTTTATAGTTGTAGTTCAAAATTCTCACTGCTCTATAGTGTATTCCATTTTACTAATATGCCATCAATCGTGTATTAATTCTTCCACTGATAGAAGTTTGAAGTGTCCTGGTTACTATAAGCAATGCTCCTATAAACATTTATTTACTTGTCTTTTCTTGACTATATGACATTTATTTGGGTATATACCAAGAAGAGTTGTTGGATCAGAGCTTATGCTTTGGTATATACAACAAACAATTTTTATGAGTAGTTGTGCCAATTTATACTTGGTATTTGCATGACCCAGAGAATAAGTGCCACCTTAAATTTTGTTCCTTAAGCACTTCACTGAGCTCAGCCCAGTCCTGGCCTTCTTTTATCAAGCAGTGTATGAGATTTCATTGCTTCACATCCTTGTCGGCACTTATTGTCTTTTTTTTTTCCCTCTCTAAAGTTTACCCATTCTAGTAGGTATGTAATGGCATCACTTTGGATTTTGTATCCACGTTTTCTTGATGACTAATGTAAGTTTTATATTTTAATATATTTTATGATCATCTGCATAACTTGTTTTGTGAAATAGATATTCCAAGTCTTTTGCCCATTTTTGAATTGGATTGTCTGCATTTTCTTAC